GCAAATAACATATACCGGTATGTATATAGGAAATAACTCTGACACATGTTAGTATATACTTCAACTTGTGTTGTACATTTTGTAGAGTGAGATACAGACCTTTAAACCTTATTGTTTAAATAACATTTTAGCGATAAAAACATTCAATTATTATCCATGCAAACTTCTAATTGGGTCCTATTGGTAACACTGTATCTCATATCACAGGCCCCTATCACAGCCAGAATACCACGAAATGATTTGACGCTAATGCTTCTTTTAAACATATAGGTAAACATTCCAACGTATATTTTGTATCATACGCATAATTCATATTCCAACAGACTTCGCAATAATAAGCTAGAAAGTGTGATTCTCCATTAAAAATCATTATTTATAGGTACTTACTGTTGAAAAAACTTTAAATTCTCTTCACTTTAACTGCCTCCGCGATTTTAAGATAAAAATTGTCGTAAAAGATTAGCACAAATGAACAGTAGGTGTCCTTGCACAAGCACTTTGCTCAACATGTAAGTGAGTAGATTAAATTATTAATTAATTTAAGTATACACTGCATGTAGCATCTGTAAAAATAAAATTAAGAAATAAATTAAGTTTGACTGTTCTGGTTAATCTAGAAACATACTGAAGAGCATAACAGACAACGAGAACAGGCCAACCAAGATAAATTGTCTCATTTTGACATTTATCCACCAATTAGCTATTGACGGCTCACAAGAGAATCTATAAAAGGAACGTTTTTAACAGTTTTGGAAAATTTAGCACTCAGGAAATAATATATTATTTTTGACATAATAGACTCACAACCACTATCAGATATGACTTTATCGTTTAATATTAAGACAAACAGTCATTTTATATAACCAAGACGACACATTAACCAATTGCATGTGAAACTGGATTGATAGCTGGCGGTTGTAAAAGTAATCAACATTTTGCTCTCAATAACATTCTCGTAGAGAATTCTGAAATGAATATCAAAACGTTAATTTGTCGTCCTCGAGCGGTACAGGACCTAAACACGTGTAGCAAGAAATTTAGTTTCGATTAGACTCATTACAAATTTAAAATCGACTCTTCATTCGAATCGTATTGACTCCATATGCATATGAATCCGTGTCTACTCCAACGGGAGACACTAGTAGATGGACATTTGAACAGAAATACTCTATGCGTTCAGGATAAAGATTACAAGTTGAACATGACCACATTGCATACCTTAGAGCTTGTTTTTAAATTGAGTCATTGAGTCGAATACCAGAAGATGCCATTTAATAAGTGAATTTTCATATTAGCAAATATTCTTCTTGGGTGGCAAAATCATAAAATCAATTAAACTTTAGCAGACATTTTAATTGACTGATTATGAGAATCATTCTCGTCATTGAATACAGATGATACATTTCAAAATGGTGATCGATTACGTATTGTGGTAGGTGTTGTGAGTAAATATCGCTGAGATTTCTCAGTGTTCAGATAGGCCTAAATATACTTTGCTGAATGGATGGATTTAATTTAAGACGGTGTACCAAAATATGATTGGCCTACTTGACAGCACAATTTATTAACTATGAATTTCAATATTTGCTGAGAATTTTGCAAAACCTACCTAGATATAGAGAAGCGTTGTATCACTTTTTTGCAACCTTAGAAACATTATTTAAGGGGCAATGTTTAGAGGAAAAGCCAAGTTACGTGCATGCACTGCTGCGATGCGCACTATGCATGAAAACGTTGACGCAAAGAAAAAGAAGATGTTTCATCCATAAGGTGGTCGTTCAACAATTACTACATTTTAGACTAAGTTGCAGATACTCTACAGTACACAAAACGCACCTCATAAAATCGCTAACGCTAACCACCACACCCCTTTCGATGCTTCGATGTTCACAGATAGCTGTTTACGTAATGCTCGATGTCGGTGATTCGGTGAACTACACTGTACTACTACTCTAATATGCACCTATTTTATTGTACTATTAATCATATAATGTACCGTAATTTTAATGGATATTGTCCATCGATGACATATACGGCAATTATACGAATTGGAAAAATAGAATAGCTGAAAAGTAGGTTAGAATTAATATGCTGTCCTGTTGACGACTGCGGGCGGCTAGTTATTGCGCTACTTGCCAAGTTGCGTTAGGCCTACTCTTTATTCTTTTAATTGTGCTTTCTTCGATATCCAATGCCAAATGATTGTTGATGTTTTAACAACTGCCCAATCAGAACAGGTTCTGGAATACGCACTTGTCTCACAAACACGCCATGTCCCATAAACATACATATTTAGGCCTACTTACGTTTACCTGGTCGTTTTGTAGGACCTCAACAAAATATCCATGGAGTGGGCTACAGAAAGGTCCATTTTAATAGGTGCAGTAAAACTGAATGTTAAAGGCTAAACCTCTTCTACAGTTCTGCTTCTATTTTATATAAGCTTTTCAAATTTCTAAATTTCACAAACCTTTTTATCAATTTACATGGTTCGGAAAATATATTATATTAAGAGATCGTTGTGGCAGTAAATGATAAAACCATGGACCTTAAGAAACACATATTCCCTTTTTTTCAATCCATAACAATGCAAATCTTCTCCTGTTAAAGCGAATTATTCTAATTCTGATTACTAATCCCTCGGGTTTGACGTAAACCGTTGGTGCCAAATATTGGGTTTACCACTATATACAGTACGTACGCGTGGCCTACTTTTTTGTTTTTCATAAAACTATTCTTTGAATTCTTGTTTAATGTCTTGTTTTGTTTTGTGTAAACATGTTTTTTTTTAAATTCAGACCCCTTGATTCTACGAATATACAATAAAGTGCCTCAAATTAATAATATTAGCCGATCAGCCATCACCATCACCGCCTGCACACAAATGCAACAAAGCCGCGTCATCAACTAGTTCAGTATCGTTAAAGACAAAAGAAAACATCATTTGCAAAAAAAAAAAAACATTAGCTCCTGGCCTTAGAAAATGTATTAATAGATTCACAAGAAGGAAACGCATCGATAAGAAGGAATTCAAAACGTAATGATTATTTTTAACAAATGTTTAGATATATGAGGCTTACCATCGTAAAACCAGCGTACGCACTTTTTTATTCAATCAGTCGTTCATAAGATATAAAAAAAAATAAATAAATAAGCAACAATAAGAATCGTTCATTAAAAAGTAATGTGAAAATTAGATATAAAATTAATTTCAAAAGGTATGTAATTACTTAAATGATTCACTAAATGTTAAACTGAGTAGCATAAGAATGCTGATTTAAAGTTTAAGATAGGTTAGATTCTAACAGCCATTTTCAAAGTGACATCTATACTATTATCCGGGCCATCACGACAGGGTGAAAAACGTCGATTAAAAATGACGTCAATAATTAGGTGTCACCTGACATAAGTAACGACACTTTATCGTAAAAGACGAATGTAATTTGTGTTTATTATTCGAACACATTTCTTGAGATCACACTTTCGCCTACGCATTATTTTTTTCTTTATTGATATCTCAATTATGAATTCTATTTAACTGCCAAAATCCATCTCGATAACACGTCATTCTCGTACAGTGTTATCTTCTTGTAACACTTCAAGATGTCAATAACACACTATGATTTAAATAGCGCGTTATTGGCCAACTAAATAAGGAAGTTTTATTTTTAATATAACGCGTTACATGGATCATTCTACTGCATTTTAATTTCAACTATCATCTTGCGGCGTTCCATCTGGTATCACAGCGTTAACGTGTCATTAACAGTCAGAGTCAGATCGAATAGTAAAGCATTATTTCACCTTATTTGTTTTTATTTCATCCTAATTACAGTATTTACATCGAATATTCCAATTGATCATATCTGCCGATTATCAAAGAATGATTGAAGTAAACATTTACAGATACTAATAAGCGAACCTATTATATATGAGAATATTATTTGATAACGCAGTGTACAATACAATACACATGATTTGTAATTGCATCCATAGAGTTAGTGATACAACAATATTTATTTCTGACAATAATATAAAAGTTGGTCTATACAATAATGTAAATACTGTATGAATTGTACAAATAACAGCCATAAAGTATTTACCACCGTAGATGGCGCGATCACAATATGGTATCAGAAACATTAGACTGTCTATATATATATATATATATATATATATAGGATATATATATATATATATATACATATATACAT